TAAAAATGTGACTCCACTGTCTTCTGACTTGCATTGCTTCTAACAAATCTAGCATTGTCCTTTGTTCATCTGTGCTGCTTTTAAGGTTTTCTCTTTTTCAATTGTTTTGAGAAATTTAATTATTATATGCCTTGGTGCAGTTTTCTTCATATTTCCTGTGTTTGGATTCGTGGAACTTCTTGGAATTGGGGGTTTGTAATTTTCATCGAATTTAGAAAAATTTTGGTCATTATTGCTTCAAATATGTTTTCTGTTACATTCCACCTTACCTTCAAGGATACTGATTGCCCATATATTGGGCTTGAAATTATCCTGTGGTTCATTGATACTCTTTTCATTTTTAAAATTCTTTTTTCTCTTTGTTTCATTTTGTATACTTTGTATTATCATCTCTAAATTCTCTTTTCTTCTGCAATGTGCAATCTGTCATCAGTCCTATACAGTGTAGTTTTCACCTCTCCATGCTTTTTCATCTTCTTGAGCTCTTTTCTGGGGTGCAGTTAAATTACTGGGAGATAGTTTAATCCTTCCAAGTTTTGCTTTTACAATTTGTTAGGTGAGACTAGAGCCATGTCTAGCCTAGGACTAATTATTCCCCACTACTAAGGCAATACACTTCCGTATACTTTACCCAAGCACTATGAATTAGGAGGCTTTCCAATCTGACTGGTACCCACCGCTAAGTAATGTTCCCTCTGATCATTTTGGATGGGTTCTTCCCCTGTCTTCCTCTAGAACATAAGAACACTCAGGTGGTAAGTATCTTAAATAACCATGTCTCAGCCTGAAATCTGTTTTCATCCTTTGTCATTATCATTCTAAACATTTAAATGTTACACCTAAATAGTTAAACTGTATTATTTTTGGAATCAGTACAGGGAAGGAGCCCATCCAAAATGCACTGATCATATGCCCTGATCATAATATGCTCTGCTTAATATGTGAAGAGGACCTTCTACAGATCTCTAACCTTCTCTAGGACCTGCAGTACTTCCTTTTCAGATACTCTGTCCTACAAAGTCTAGAGCTGCCTTGGTCTCCCTGGACTGTCAGCTCTGCTTCCTCAACTCAGTGAGGTTGGCTGCCTGGCTTTGCCTACAGTCCCCCTCCCTGCACTACAACCTCGAAGCTCCTTTAAACAGTAGGCTGTAGGAATCGTAGGGCTTACGTTATTTGTTCCCCATCTCTCAGACTCACTGTCCTTCATTGCCTGATACCTAGTGCTTTAAAAACTATTGTTTAAGGCCAGGTGCAGTGACTCATGCCTGTAATCCCAGCACTTTGGGAGGCCAAGGCAGGCAGATCACTTGATGTCAGGAGTTGGAGACCAACCTGGCCAATATGGTAAAACCCTTCTGTACTAAAAATACAAAAAAATTAGCTGGGCATGGTGGCGAGCACCTGTAATCCCAGCTATTCAGGAGGCTGAGGCAGGAAAATCACTTGAACCCAGGAGAAAGAGATTGAAGGTGAGCCGAGATCACACCACTGCACTCCAGTCTAGGTGACACAGTGAGACTCGGTCTCAAAAGAACAACAACAAAAACAACAAAAAACTGTTGTTTCATATATTTTGTGGGGGTGTTTTCTGGTCATTTTAGGTGGGAGGGTACATCAGTCTTGTTGCTTGTTGTCAATGAAAAGAGTCAAACTTATGGCCAGGCACTGTGACTCATGCCTATAATCCCAGCACTTTGGGAGGCTGAGGCAGGTGGATCACCTGAGGTCAGAAGTTCAAGACCAGCCTGGCCAACCTGGTGAAACCCCATCTCTACTAAAAATACAAAAATTAGCCAAATGTGGTGATGCATGCCTGTAATCGCAGCTACTCGGGAGGTTGAGGCAGGAGAATCGCTTGAACCCGGGAGGTGGAGGTTGCAGTGAGCCGAGATCAGGCCACTACACTCCAGCCTGGGCAACAGAGTGATACTCTATCTCCCCACCCCACTGCCCCTCAAAAAAAAGAAAGAAAGAAAAGAGTCCAATTCTAAAATATTTGAAGACGTTTATTCTGAGCCGAATATGAGTGACAAATGGCCCATGACACAACCCTCAGGAGATCCTGAGAACATGTGCTCAAGGTGGTCAGGCTACAGTTTTATACATTTTAGGGAGACATAAGACATTGATCAATACATGTAAGATGTACATTGGTTTGGTCTGGAAAGGAAGGACAATTGGAAGTGGGGGAGGTGTTTGGGAGGGGTTCGGCAGGGGGCAGGGCTTCCAGGTCATAGGTAGATTCAAAGACTTTCTGATTGGCAGTTGGTTGAAAGAATTAAGTTATTGTCTAAAGACCTAGAATCAATAGAAAGGAATGTGTGGGCTTATGATAAGGGTTTGTGGAAACCAAGGTTTTATCACACAGATGAGGCCTCCAGGTAGCAGCCTACAGAGAAGAGATTGCAAATACTTCTTATCAGGCTTAAAGAGTCATTTCTGTCAGTTTTAAGGTCTGTGTTGATGTAAATGCTGTTCAGCTGGGCCCGAATTCCAAAAGAGATGAGGGCATAATGAGGCATGTCTGGCTTCCCCTTCCCTTCATGGCCAAACTAGTTTTTCAGGTTAACTTTGGAATGTCTTTGGCCGAAAGGAGAGATCCATTTGGATGGTTGGGGAGGCTTAGGAATTTTATTTTTGGTTTGCATAATGTCTAAAAATTAATACAATCTTTTTCTCCTTGCTAAAAGGTAAGTTGTTTTATGTTTACTGCCATTTATACCTCACTAGAAATGAATTTATCAGAGAGTAGGTTAGATTGAGAGAGGGCATATACTAAACTAACTGTGTTATCCAAGGTGGTATGAAAAGGAAGGTAAAAGTGTAGGACTCTAACAAAATCACTGATTTGACTAGGGCAGATTATCTCTGGATAATCTTAGAATTCACCAAGAAGCAGAGACAGAAGTGACTCCTTGTGTTTTGGTGCTTGTTGATGGAGTGCAGCCTTCTTCCTGTTTTCCTTTCCTAGGACCAGTATACCATGAGTACTGTGAGTGTCCAGAAAATCCTCAGGCCTGGCAGAAAACTCTTTCTTGTCCAACCAAAGAACCGCAGATTGCAAAAGATTTTGCTTCCTTTCCCAGCATCAATCTCCAGCAAATGCTAAACGAAGTCCCCAAAAGGTTTGGGGATGAGAGAGGTGCCGTTGTTCATTACACAATTCTCAATAACCACATTTACCGGAGATCTTTAGGGAAATACACGGACTTCAAAATGTTCTCTGATGAGATTTTGTTATCACTGACAAGAAAGGTAGGAGAATGAATGAATTGATATAGTTTAATTATTTAGGTATAACATTTAAATGTTTAGAATGATATGACAAAGGATGAAACAGATTTCAGGCTGAGAAATGGGCATCTAAGATATTTGCAACCTGAGTGTTCATATGTTTTCCACCTTTGTGGATCTCATTGTCCTGTAAGATTTAAAATTAAGTGGCTTGAGGCCAGGCATGGTGGCTCATGCCTGCAGTCACAGCACTTTGGGAGGCCAAGAGGGATGGATCACCCGAGGTCAGGAGTTCGAGACCAGGCTGGCCAACATGGCAAAACCCCATCTCTACTGAAAATACAAAAATTAGCTGGGTATGGTGACAGTCACCTGTAATTCCAGCTACTCGGAATTGAGGCAGGAGAATGGCTTGAACCCAGGAGGTGGAGGTTGCAGTGACCCAAGATTGCACCACTGCAGTCCAACCTGGGTGACAGAATGAGACTCCATTTCAAATAAAGAAATACATACATACATAAAATAAAATAAAATTAAGTGGCTTGAGCCCCCATCCCAGGTAGGTGTGCCATGCAGGACGCTCCCAAGGTCTTTTTGAACTTCCAGACATTTATAACAAGGTTACTTCTTCTTCTCCTCCTCCTCCTCCTTCCTCCTCCTCTTCTTCTTCTTCAAAACTGTCTATATTTACAGTATCCAAACAGAACTGTCTTATTAATTAATTAATTTATTTATTTTTTAATTGAGATGGGGTCTTATGCAGGCTGGCCTCAAACTCTTGGGCTCAAGCCATCCTCCCACCTCAGCCTCAGTCCTAGCTGGGACTATAGGCACACACAACTGTTGCAAGAGGTCACTTTAAGTTCTCTGTTCCTGCTGAATACTCCTTCTGTTTAGATTTCACCTTCTGCAGCTGTTTACTTCTCTTCGCCTCAAAATGATCTGAACTTAGAACACATTTTCCTTGTTTTTCCCTAAGCATACCTAGAAGTTAGCATGCATGGCACATTTTGTCAAAGCTTGGGGTACCAGAAACAGGTTGCTTTTTTTTTTCACCAGTGCATACTAAAAAACATACAAACAAAACCCCTGATATTTAAAAATAGACACCTCTGTACTAATCAGACTCTCAGTCATGCTTTCCTCTGGGAATTTCTCAGGGCTGTCCTTGATCTTAAGGTCTTAGCCTCTTACTAATGTGGTTAGGCCCACTGTCTTTCAGGCTCTCCACATCCCCCAATAGCGCCCCCTTATCCCACTGCTCAGCCTCTCTTTCCACATTTGCAGATCTCTAAATTCTTCTTAAGCAGAGCAACTGAGACCACCTTTTGTTCTTATTTCTGATTATACAGGATGAAGGATGGAGGTGGGCAGTATTTATCTTTCTTACCCAGAGAGACCATTAAGGGAGGTTTTTGTTTGTTTGTTTGTTTTGAGATGGAGTATTGCTGTGTCACCAGGCTGGAATGCAGTGGCACGATATCGGCTCATGGCAACCTCCAATTCCCTGGTTCAAGTGATTCTCCTGCCTCAGCCCCCCGAGTAGCTGGGATTACAAGCACCCATCACCATGCCCAGCTAATTTTGTATTTTTAGTAGAGATGGGGTTTCATCATGTTGTCCAGGATGGTCCCGATCTCCTGACCTCGTGATCCGCCCACCTCAGCCTCCCAAAGTGCTGGGACTACAGGTGTGAGCCACTGTGCCCGGCCAAGAGAGTTTTTTACACCAAAACAACACAGTTTTCCTGACATGTTATACAATCCCCCAAGTATGCTGACTGTGTGGCTGCAGTCAGTCCTTACTTTAAATAGCAGTCCCCACCCCCTCCGCCACCAGCATACAGTGTGAGTGTACAAGCAAATTATGGGCATCTGCTCCTAAAGGTAGTGCTCTCTTCCTGGGCTACAACCGGTCAATCATGCCCTGTATTCTCGCCTCTTTAACCCATGTTGCTGGCTTCATCACAGTAGATTTCAGCCAGGGATGATTTTGCCCATCAGAGGACATTTGCAATGTTTAGAGACATTTTTGGTTGTCACAACTCAGGGATTGCTATTAGCATCTAGTGGGTAAGCATCCTACAATACAAAGGATAGTGACTTCACAGCAAAGAATCATCCAGCCCCAAATGTCAACAGTGTGTGCTTGAGAGACCTTGCTCCACAGTGAGCACTTCTGATGTGGAGTTTATTAATGAGTTTATAAATAATAGCAGGGAGGCTGGACATGGTGGCTCACACCTGTAATCCCAACACTCTCAGAGGCTGAGGCAGGTGAATCATTTGAGGTCAGGAGTTTGAGACCAGCCTGGCCAACACGGCCAACCCCGTCTCTGCTAAAAATATAAAAATTAGCCAGGTGTGGTGACATGTACCTATAGTCCCAGTTACTTGGGAGGCTGAGGCACAAGAATCATTTGAACCTGAGAAGCAGAGGTTGTGGTGAGCCGAGATCGCACCACTGCACTCCAGCCTGGGCAGCAGAGCAAGACTGTGTCTCAAATAATAATAATAATAATAACAATGACAGGGAAACAAGAGGGTGAATATTCATATCTCTCAACCTTTCCTTTTGTTCTTTGCTCAGTAGCTGGGGAAGAAATCTAAGATGAAAGAGACATAGTCCTAGTCTTTGAGCAGCCCACTCTCGTGGGACTTGTTTTTGTTTTTTGGGAGTGGAAGTGGGTTGTGAATACAAACAAATAATTATATCCCGACATGATAGGTCTCAAAAAAAATAAGTACCCAGGGTTCAAGTGCCTGAGGAGGGTGAGTCATAGAGGAGGTGGTGTTAGATCTGAGTTTGAAAGATGAGAAAGAAGACTGCCAAGTTAAATAAGTAGAGCATTCCAAATGAAGGGAATTACATATTAAGTGGATGGCATTTTCAGAGAGTAGCTTAAGGTTTTCTGGTAGGTGGACAGATGAAAGATGAGGCGTATAGCCAGGGTGGACCCAGATAGGCCTTGAATGCCAGCCAGAGAGTTGAGATCTTGTGCCATAGGCTTAAGGTTCTGTTAAGCTTGCTAGTGACATTAACCAAGTTATTTTAGAAACTTCAGTTTTGGAATTAATTTTAGTTTTGGAAATCTTAGCCCTGTGGAGAACAGATTACAGTATGGAGAGCCCAGAATCAGATCACCTAGTAAGGAAGCTATTACAACAATCTAGGCAAGAAATGATGAGGGCCTAAACTGAGACGTTGACCGTGGAGATGGAAACGGAGTGGCAGAGTGGCAGGTTGCAGAGGCAAGGGCAGATGAGGTAAAGAAGGGGACAGTGAAGGAAAACAAGGCTTTGGTTCTAACTTTGTAGATTCTCTTGTTTAGGCAGCTGGCAGAGAGGGTTCTCAAAGCTGCTCATTCATACCTGTCTACACAATTTCCAGTTCTCTAACACTACATTTTATTTTATTTATTTATTTAATTAATTTATTTGAAAACAGTCTTACTCTGTTGCCCAGGCTGGAGTACAGTGGCGTGATCTCAGCTCACTGCAACCTCCATCTCCCAGGTTAAAGGGATTCTACTGCCTTACCCTCCTGAGTAGCTGGGATTACAGGTGCCTGCCACCAGCCCAGCTAATTTTTGTAATTTTAGTAGTGATGGGGGTCTCACCATGTTGGCCAGACTGGTCTCAAACTCCTGACCTTAACTGATCCACTCCCAAAGTCCTGAGATTACAGGTGTGAGCCACCATGCCCGGCCTCAAACACCAAATTTTAAATCCACCTCTGGACAGAGGTAGCTGACTCCTGGTTAAGTGAATTTGTCATGTAGGATCCTCACAAGTGACAAATTCACAGGCATCCTGTCAATGACAGGCATGCTTCTCTCCTCTCTTACTGTTTTTGAATGGTCAACTCTGTCAGAAATATGTAAGAAAACCAAAGAACTGTCGTATTTAGTCTTTGGTTTTCTTACATATATGGAAGACATATCTTCCCAGGAGTGACATTTGTTTATATGTTTATTTAGGTCCTCCTCCCAGATTTAGAATTTTATGTTAATCTTGGAGATTGGCCTTTGGAGCATCGAAAAGTCAATGGAACCCCCAGCCCCATACCTATCATTTCATGGTGCGGCTCTCTGGATTCAAGAGATATTGTCCTTCCAACATATGACATCACCCACTCCACGCTTGAAGCCATGAGGGGTGTTACAAATGATCTCCTCTCTATTCAGGGAAATACAGGTAATTCAGAGAAATATAGGCGTTCAGGAAAATGCATGGCTAATTAACAAAGAGAAAGCTTAGAGAGATAGTGGGTTATATATATATGTTTGCATTCAATAGCATATTAGAAAAAGTCTTTCCTGTATTCAAAATTCTGACCAACTTGAGTAAAGATTTGTGGATGTTACTCAGTTACAGCATTTTTTTTTCTGGTCACTGTATGTAAGAACAAAGGCCTAGCTCATGTTTTATTGTGAAACACAGAAGATGGAAGAAGCTAATGCCTTGGTGAGTGGGCCAAGTCACTGAATCTCTTTTTGCTTTGAACATGGACCGACATTATTTCAGATATTTCCTAGTATTATACAACAGAATACACCAATACTCACGTGAGCTTTCACTAGCAGACAAATGGATAAAATTAGAGCATTCTTTAATATAATACAGCAAATAAAAGGACTGTTTTTCTTTTTTGAAAGTCTAAACTTGAAAGTACTTCCAGCGGCTGGGTGCGGTGACTCACACCTGTAATCCTAGCCCTTTGGGAGGCTGAGGTAGGTGGATCATGAGGTCAAGAGATTGAGACCATCCTAGCCAACATGGTGAAACCCTGTCTCTACTAAAAGTACAAAAATTAACTGGGTGTGGTGGTGCATGCCTTTAGTCCCAGCTGCTACTCGAGAGGCTGAGGCAGGAGAATTGCTTGAACCCAAGAGGCAGAGGTTGCAGTGAGCTGAGATCGCACCACTGCACTCCAACCTGGGTAACAGAGTGAGACACCATCTCAAAAAAAAAGAAAAAAAGAAAGTACTTCTGGCAAATTGAGATTCAATCCCATATTTTTTTTTAAATTGCATCTGCTTTAGAAGATGAGTTGATGATAAAAGAGCTTTAACATCTTAAATAACAATGGTAGATTAAAGAGGATTATGCTTACCATATTAAAATATCAAACTCATAATCATAATTTTTTTTATGGATTCAAACTTGTAGGGCCTTCCTGGATCAATAAAACAGAGAGAGCTTTCTTCAGAGGTAGAGACAGCCGAGAGGAGAGGCTCCAGTTGGTACAGCTGTCCAAAAAAAATCCTCAGCTACTAGATGCAGGAATTACAGGATATTTCTTTTTCCAAGAGAAAGAAAAGGAGCTTGGAAAAGCCAAGTTGATGGGTTTCTTTGATTTCTTTAAGGTATGCATTTGAGACTTCCTCTATGGATATTAAGTGATAAACTTGTATTAAAAGTCTACCAAAATAGGTGGGCTTCAGCAAATTTCTTCTTTCTTGTGAACTGACATACATGTTTACATTTTCTTATTAGGTAACAGGAATTACAAAACTCATTGTGGTTTCCTTCTTTTGTTGTTAACTTTACCAAATAGCTCAGAACTGTACTTAATTCTCAAAATATAGTACAAGGATTAACCTGGGATTTTGATGTAGTTATTTTTTTTTCTTTTTTCTTTTCTTTTTTTTAAATTTGCTTTAATAAACTGGGAATATAATACCTTTTACATAAAGTGATCTCAAATGTCTTTTGTAAATAGAAAAAGTACAAATTCCATGTATGTAAAATGGGAGTTGGGATTGGGGTTCAAGGCCTGCTTCCAATCCTGTCTCTGCCACCAGCTATGGGATCTTCCTCTCTTGGTGCCTTGGTCTTTAAACCCGTGTGATGCCTGCCTACTCCTTCAGAGCATTATCACGAAGCCTAAAGGAGAGATGTGAACAATGTGACAAAAGCTGATAGGCTCAAAAACTCCTTGTACCAATTATTTAAGAAAAAATTAATTACCAAATCTGGGAGTGTGTCCTCTTCATCCCAGAGTGATATAATGAGTAGAACAGGGGATTTGGGACTCAGAGAATGGAGGTTTATACATTTCTCTGAACACTAGTTTTTTCATTTGTAAAAAGAAAAAGAAAGGGTTAATAATACCTGCTTTGGATTATTATAATTGAATGAAGTTTAATGCCTATGAAAAGTGCATTTGAAATGGAAAATAAAGTGTGTAAATCCAACAAATATGCAGACAGCATACCTACTGTGTTGCCAGCATTGCCCATCCTTAAATGTCTCCAGGTTTGTCTCCTCAGCTCTAAAACTGTAAAATAGAGACCGTGCCTGCCTGTTTCATAGATTGCATATAAGGAACAAATGAAATAACGAATAAATGAAAATGTTCATTGTTATCAGTATTAAGCTTTAAGAACTTTTGAAAATAGTTTTCCTGGCTGGGCACCATGGCTCACATCTATGATCCCAGCACTTTGGGAGGCTAAGCCAAGCAGATCACCTGAGGTTGGGAGTTTGAGACCAGCCTGGCCAACATGGGGAAACCCTGTCTCTACTAAAAATAGGAAAAAATTCGCTGGCCGCAGTAGCAGGCGCCTGTAATCCCAGCTACTCAGGAGGTTGAGGCACCAGAATCATTTGAACCTGGGAGGCGGAGGTTGCAGTGAGCCAAGATTACACCACTGTACTCCAGCCTGGGTGACAGAGCAAGACACTGTCTCAAAAAAGAAAAAAAATTAAAATTTAAAAAGAGAAAGAAAATAGTTTTCCTACCTGGTTACAGAAATCTGGATTCTATATTTCAGAGACATGATTGAAATAGGTCTCCACTCCTATTTCCTAAAATTTAGCATCTTGCATTTAAACAATATATTTCTTAAAATTAATCTGAGAAAGGCTACTTGTGACTTTTAAACAAAGAGAAGATATAAGTTATACAATAAAACTTTTAAACCCAAAAGTTGGAAAATGGAAAATAATTCCTCTGTAGTTGACATTAGAGTGTTGATGAAAAGCAGAAGTAAAGCAAATGACTACTGAAAGTTTGTTTATATTTGTTTGTTTTTCATCTTCCAGTACAAGTATCAAGTTAATGTGGATGGGACCGTGGCTGCTTACAGATATCCATATCTCATGCTGGGTGACAGTCTGGTTTTAAAGCAGGACTCACCATATTATGAACATTTCTATACGGCACTAGAGCCTTGGAAGCATTATGTTCCAATTAAAAGAAATCTTGGTGATTTATTAGAGAAAGTTAAATGGGCTAAGGTATGCTTCCCAGCAATTTTTATTTCTTTGGGCAATAACAGATTCGCCAGAGTGAGTTAGTTGAGTTCCATCACAACACAATTTGATTTACATAATGGAATTGAAAGAAATATTATTTTCTGAAATTGCTGTTCCCCTGAAGTATCTAAAGAATCAGCATCAGAATCATTTTGCATACCCTTTAACAACATTTTGGAAGATTTTCAGAAGATTTGAAGTCCAGCGTTATATAAAATACAGATTTTCTAAATGCTGTTTACACATACAAACAAGAACACACAAAATGCAAATTACTAATTCAAAGACCAGAGTTAAAGTGTTTTATGAACAAGAAAACATTTAAGCCAATTATAGTACTCTTTTCTTATCCCCAGTTAGAAGAAAAGGCACAAATTCTTAATGAATGCATGTTATACAACCTCCCAAGAATCACATTTCCCATAAAATAGGAATTCCTTTTTTAAAAGGAAAGGAATTAAAAAGCTGTTCCATTTTATTATAAAACTACAAAAATGTACCCTTCCATTTTGAGACTTTATACTGATTCTAAGAAACAATATATGGTTATGGAAATAATCGGATGCCTGAGGCAGAATCAGTGTTGTGACCCTTCATAAGAGCCACGATAGCTCACAAATGGCTTTTCCTGTGGGCAGCATGGTAGAAGATTAACTATTTTCCAAAAGTATAATTAAGAATGCTGACTATTAATGGTACTGAATGAACAGCCTGTAGGTACTAATGACTGAAGTTTTTGGTTACAAAGCAATACAGTCTTTTATAGCTACCATTTTATAACACTTTTTGGTTCTGACTGCAAATTTGCAGGGAGCTTTTAAAAGATGTTGTAACATGAAAATGGATTAATTCTACTATCATGCAGAGAGGAACTAGGCTGGTGGGACAGATGAGGAAGCCAAAGAGTACTTCCTGGGTGGCCAGGAAGGTATCAAGATGATCACAATAGGGGCTGCAGGTGGGTTGTTGCACTGTGGGGAGAAGGAGTGGTTTCCTGGTACTCTGGAAAAAAAAAAAAAGGGGGCCAAACTTGTGATCATTTCTCTTTAACAGAGATGTCTAGGAAAATACTCTGTCTCTTCCCATAGCCTCATTCTTTTATTTTTCAGTTTGTTGTTTATTTTTTCTGAGACAGAGTCTCGCTCTTTCGCCCAGGCTGGAGTGCAGTGGCATGATCTCTGTTCACTGCAACCTCCGCCTCCCGGGTTCAAGGAGTCTTGTGCTTCAGCCTCCTGAGTATCTGGGATTACAGGCACCTGCAACCACAGCCAGCTAATTTTTGTATTTTTAGTAGAGATGGGGTTTCACCATGTTGGCCAGGCTGATCTCAAACTCCTGACCTTAAGTGATCCTCTAGCCTCGGGCTCCCAAAGTGCTGGGATTACAGGCGTGAGCCACTGCACCTAGCCCCTGTAGCTTTATTCTTAAGTTATAATTCCATTATATTTTGTCTTTCCCATGCTGTTCACTTTCCATCCCACCTCTGTTCCACCTCTCACTTAGCCCTCACTTTCTTTGTGGGTCACAGTAGTAATTTTCATTTTTTTTTAACCTTTCAGGAAAATGATGAAGAAGCCAAGAAGATTGCAAAAGAAGGACAACTGATGGCTAGGGACCTACTACAGCCACACAGGCTTTACTGCTACTATTACCAAGTACTGCAGGTCAGTTCAGAGTGTCCATCCACACTGCTGGGTCAGGTGTCCTCAGACCACACGCACTTGGCCTGTGTACTTCCTACCTGGCTTGCTGAAGGGCTCAGAGAGTCAGCCTATGGACCGGCTGGCTAAGCTGAGGCACTAGTCTAGGGAAAGATAGTGCAAAGTCTTCGTTTGGTGGCCTCCTTTTTTTTGTTTTTGTTTTTTTGAGATGAAGCTCTCTCTGTCACTTGGGCTGGAGTGCAATGGCACAGTCTCGGCTCACTGCAGCCTCTGCCTCCCAGGTTCAAGCATTCTCCTTCCTTAGCCTCCCAAGTAGCTGGGATTACAGGCTTGCACCACCACATCTGGTGAATTTTTGTATTTTTAGTAGAAACTGAGTTTCGCCATGTCAGCCAGCCTGGTCTTGAACTCCTGGCCTCAGGTGATCCGCCCACCTTGGCCTCCCACGGTGCTAGGATTATAGGTGTGAGCCACTAAGCCCGGCCATGCCCTCCATATTTTCATCTTTATTCTATATTATGAAAAACGATGCTGGGAGCCCTCACAAATGTAGATTAGCAGATCTTCCCGTCTTCTCAGTGCTCTCTTTTATAAAATGCCTTGTGGAGTTCCTAGTGTAGGTGTTCTGGAACCTCAGAGAAAAACATTTTTGCTTATCTGAAAAAGAAGAGGGTTAGACTGGAGTTCATTAACATCTTTTTTTACTCAAAATGTTGCCTCCTTATTCTCCTTGATACTTAAGATTTGTGCCTTTTACAGTACAAGGCAGAAAGCAAATATTTAGCTTGGTATAGCAAACAAACTAATGAAATATATGTATAATAGTTCTAACACCTTAGGGCTAAATCCTGAAGTACTATGTCTATTGGGAATCCAAGGATTGGTCTTTCAAGTAACTACCTTGAGTTTTAATCAGAAAAATCTAGACAGGAAGAAAGAAAAGGAAATTATGTTCTTGTTTTTAATCTAACTTTATTTTTCTGTAGGCATAATGAAAGTAAATTTCCCTAGATGCTTGTGGATACTACCCTCTCATATTTTTATCTTCATAGAAAAATAAAATCAATAAGTTACACTATTTACTAAAACCTCCCCTTCCTTCCCTTAAGTTGGTTCTGTCCCATCTGTTGGTCTAGCTTTGTTAGAAGTTTTTTTTTTTTTTTTTTTTTTTTTTTTTTTTTTTTTTTTTTTTTTTTTTTGTTTGGGCGCAGTGGGTCACACCTGTAATTCCAACTACTCAGGAGGCTGAGGCAGGAGAATCTTTTGAACCTGGGAGGCGGAGGTTGCAGTGAGCCCAGATGGTGCCATTGCACTCCAGCCTGGGCAACAAGAGTGAAACCCCATCTCAAAAAAAAAAAAGTCTTACTCTGTCACCCAGGCTAGAGTGCAGTGGCATGATCACAGCTGACTGCAGCCTCAACATCCCACTCTCCCTCTTCAGCCTGCCCCTAGTAGCTGGGACTATACCACTCTCCCACCTCAGCCTCCCGCCAGTAGCTGGGACTACACCACCACACTCAGTGAATTTGTTTATTTTTTTTTAGAGACAAGCTCTTGCTGTGTTGCCCAGGTTCCTCAAGCAATCCTCCAGCCTCAGCCTCCCAAAGAGCTTTAATTTTAATAGTAGGAATTTCTCTCCCTAAAATATTAATTAGGCTCATCTACTTGTGTCAGCATTTTGTTGCATTTGGTCCAGTACTGAGAATGTACAGTGAAATGGACATGGCATCATTGAACTGAAATATCCAGTTTGTGGCTGGTCAGGGTGGCTCACACCTATAGTTCCAGCACTTTGGGAGGCCAACATAGGTGGATTGCTTTAGTCCAGGAGTTGAAGACCAGCCTGACAACATGGTGAAACCCCATTTCTACAAAAAAATTAAAAAATTAGCTGGGCATGGTGGTATGTGCCTATGGTCCCAGCTACTTGGGAGGCTGAGGTGGAAGGATCGCTTGAGCCTAGGATGTCAGAGGCTGCAGTGAGCTGAGACCACGCCACTGCACTTCAGCCTCAGTGACAGGTTGAGACCGTGTCTCAAAAAAACAAACAAACAAAAAACTTCATTTATAGAAATATTTCAGTCAGTGGTCACAGTAGAGGAACATTTCACAGACCTGCTGCCATTTAAAAATGTGTGTGACTATCGGCTTGAGTATTCAAAAAAGTTAATTATTCATTAACAAGTGGAAGATAAATGCTGAGAGCTGCTGTTTGTTTCAGGTAGGGACATCTGGCTTGGCATCCCTTTTGTAGAGGCTTCCAACCTACACATAAAATTGTGGAATGGGGCTTCTTTCTAGATTATGAATTATCACTAGTGCCTGTGATAGCTAAAGTTAAAATGTAACTTTAGTACTAAAATAAACCAGACCTTTGGTTTTAGTCTGAAGACACACAACAACTAGAAAAGATGGCATGACTGGGGATGGGAGTGCGTGGAGGAGTCAACAGAATGAAGTGTGGACTAACCTTTCAGTTGCCTTTAAACCCACATTTCAGAAATATGCTGAGCGCCAGTCCAGCAAACCCGAAGTACGTGATGGAATGGAACTTGTTCCTCAGCCAGAAGACAGCACAGCCATCTGCCAGTGCCACAGGAAAAAGCCTTCAAGAGAAGAGCTTTGAGTCAGCCCAGATTCACACTCTTGTATATCCCAGCTACATCTTTAAGGAAAGATCAAATCTAAGCTGTGAAGGACAGTACAGAAGATTTTACCAAGTGGACTGCTTCTCTCAGTGGCTTTATATGTGTAGATGGATGTAGCCATACTGATTGAGCATGGCTTATCTGAAATGCTTGGGACCAGGAGAGTTTCAGATTTCAGATTTGGGGATATTTGCATATACATAATGAGATATCTTGGGGATGAGACCCAAGTCTAAACACAAAATTCATTTATGTTTCATATATACCTTGTAAACATATCCTGAAGGTAATCTTATATAATACTTTTAATAATTTTATGCATGAAACAAAGTTTGTATACATTGAACTGTCAGAAAGCAAAGGTGTCACTATCTTAGTGACCCATATGGTGTCAGCACTCAAAAAGTTTTGGATTTTGCGGTATTTCAGATTTTGGATTTTTGTATGAGGGATGTTCAACCTGTATTTGAACAAGTATTACCAAATATTTTTGGACATTAAGATCTTTTGAGTAAAAACTGCTATTATCAGCATCATAGTTTCTCTAAAAAGAAAACTTGGGGATCATAGCAGATACAGAGGCTTGCTAAAATATAAATCAGCCTCTGTAAAACTGTTTACATATTTATTGGTTTACGTATTTTATTGGTTTATTTCTATCCCCTGTTCACTTTTTCTCTTCCACTTCCAATTATGAAGAGAAAATATTTGTTCAGGGTTTTTTTTCCTCCCTGTCACTGCATAATTTCTTCTCTTACAAGCTGCTTTTGGCTTTCATTAATAACAGCTTCTTTTAAAAGGTCTGATAAGGATATTTAAGGAAGAAGAGGATGACTCTGTTACTAAAGGTGGCATGGAGACTGTGGAGGGAATATTTTTTAAAGCACTACTCATAACTTTTAAACTACATTTTTCCAAAGCCTGAGACAACATTAAGGAGAAATTGTGCCTTAAGCTAGTTATTCCCAATCTATCTGAGTTGTATACCCATCAAAGACAATACAGTTGTTAACATAGATGAAGGTATGCTGGAGTCATCATTCATTATCTATATATTGAATAGGTCAAAGATAACTGTAGGTGAAGCACTTTCATTATTTTTAAGCTGAAAAGGGGATTCTTGAAAACCTCTACAACAATCTTCAGGAAGCCTGGTATCTTGGGATTCAGCAATAGGCCAACAACTAAGGCAAGCTTCCATTTCTCACTTCACTACTTTTCTATTTCACTGGGTGTCATCGCTAAGACAAAGACTTTGGAAATTTCCTCTGTCTTTTAGGACAGGGTCAGGATTTACGACTCATAGCCTGATAGCTCATTACATAGTCCTTGTAACCATCAGTCCAAGGTTCAGTTCAGTAAAGCGATGCTGTAAAACGAGCTATCTGCAGTCCCAATTTAAAAATATGTACTCTGAAAATCAAAACTAAATTTAAAAAAAAAAGAAGAAGAAGAAAAGAAAAAAAAAATGTATTATTGACCAGGCACAGTGGCTTACACCTGTAATCCCACTTTGGGAGGCCAAGGTGGGAGGATCACTTGAGGTCAGGAGTTCGAGTCCAGGCTGACCAACATGGTGAAATCCCAACTCTACTAAAAATACAAAAATTAGCTGGGCATGGTGGCATATACCTGTAATCCCAGCTACTTGGGGGGTTGAGGCAGGAGAATCACTTGAACCTGGGAGGCAGAGGTTGCAATGAGCCGAGATTGCACCACTGCACTCCAGCCTGGGCAACAGAGTGAGACCTTATCTCAAACAATGAAAATAAAAACCTGTACTCTACTAACTGAAATATTTACTTAATCTGGCAAACAATGTAACTATTTTTAAAGTGGTCATATCTATTCTTGCTGAAGAACAGTAAACAGAATTTTTTAACTAAGCAAAACCAAATTTCAGCACAGTGTAATCAATGCCAAGTATCTAAGGTAAACTCTAATACTCATCCATTGTGCAAAACCACAAGTACACAAGTATTAAATAAAGGGCAAGCTGTCCTGAGACCTTACCTAATGAATCTGTGTCTTAAATATTGTATGTAGTGTTTAAGGCTTGTCAAAACTGGGTTTATGGAAAGAAAGGTTGCCTGCCTCATACCTTTCTGCCTCGAATCCCAGGTGCTAATGGCTAATGGCATTTTAAACATCTTAAATTTTTAAAATTTGTATTGCTTCTGTCAAACAGGCCTAATATTTAAAAACAAGTTGAGATAAATCAGGCAGCTTCGGGGAGTGGAACAGGAAGGATGTGCTTAAGAAAAAAAGTGGAGCCCCTCAAAAAATTCTATAGGGGCCAGGCACAGTGACTCATGCCTGTAATCCCAGCACTTTGGGAGGCCGAGGTGGGTGGATCATTTCAGTTCGGGAGTTTGAGAGCCGCCTGACCAACCTGGAGAAACCCCGTCTCTACTAAAAATACAAAATTAGCCAGGTGTGGTGGCACATGCTTGTAATCCCAGCTACTCAGGAGGCTGAGGCAGGAGAATCGCTAGAACCTGGGAGGCAGAGGTTGCGGTGAGCCAAGATTTTGCCATTGTACTCCAGCCTGGGCAACAAGAGGGAAACTCAGTCCCCCCCCCAAAAAAAAAAAATTCTATAGGGAGACAGCAGCCTTAATCTAAGTAATTCTTCATCTCGCCAATTCAGCCACAGCCTTTAAGGAGTGTCAACGGCTTTCTGGTTTGTAAACAAAAATGTTCTATGTGGTTGAAAGTTTGGAAGGAGATTCACCAATATCTGAGGAGAAGATAAAGTGAAGGGAATTTTTACTTTTTGCTTTATATCTTTCTATAATATTTAATTTTTTTGCTATAAGTATGGATCAAATAGCAAAATATAGAAAAATGCCAACCTTAGAAAAGACAATAAATGCATGAAAGACATAAATGGGAAAAGAAAATAGATATTTATGTTTTCCATTATGCTCTTTTAAAACCTATGTTTAGAACTTTATATCATGGGATCTATCTATATATACTTTTTAAATAAAATAAATTTTCTAAATAAAAATTTGAAAAAGATATCTTTTTTTAAGAGAAAGAAGTTGTAACCACTTATAGCCCTGGTATTTCTATAACTGCATTGGTGTAGTTTTGATTCTATTATGTCTCCATGAATTAATGAACCAAAATCACCACTCAGTCCCTAGGGGGCATAAATCTACAATAAAATCAGAAGAAAAGAAAAGGCCAGTCACAGTGGCTCACACCTCAGCACTTTGAGAGGCCAAGGCAGGAGGATCACTTAAGCCCAGGAGTTTAAGACTAGCCCTGGCAACATAGTGAGGCCCTCAACTCAACAACAACAAAAATTTAAAAATTGGCTGGACATAGTGGTGAACACCTGTAGTCCCAGCTACTTGGGAGGCTGAGGTGAGCTGGCTGCTTGAGCCCAGGAGTTCGAGATTACAGTGAGCTATGATCATGACACTGCACTCCAGCCTGGGCAACAGAGCAAGATCCTTTCTTGAAGCCACCCTTGCAAAAATTATAAATGAGAAAATCATTACAGTGAAAGGCATCTGACCTAACCAACTCCATCTTGCTTCTAACCTCCAAGCTGTCCTTGTTCATTCCTGGGCATAAGCCAAACTAACCTTGGAAGGAACTTAGTTTACAGTTTAACTTTGAAACAAAGATGATAACGGCCTTTTCCCAAAACAACCTGTCTTCATCCCTGGGGATTAGACTGCCTTTGCAAGACTAACAAATTAGCTACAAGACAGAACTTATGGTTTAGGAGTCATGCATCTGGAGGCTGCCAGATTATGGGCCTCCCCAAATTGCTCCTGGGGATAACATCACTATTGTAAGACCTAAAATCAGTGCTTGAGATATTTTGCAGATCCTGCGCTTGATGATTCCACTAGCATCACTCAAGTCAATAAACTGGCTCATCTGGTCTTGTGGCCCTACCCCAGGAACTGAGTCAGCATAGGAGGACAGCTTCGACTCCCTATGATTTCATCTCTGACCCCACTAATAAGAAACTCCCCACTTTCTGATCCCCTACCCACCAAATTATCCTTAAAAATCACAATCCCTGACATTTCAAGGAGACTGATTTGAGTAATAAAACTCTGTTCTTCCATACAGCTGATTCTGCAAAAATTAAACTCTTTCTCTATTGTAATTCCCCTGTCTTGATAAATTGGCTCTGTCTAGGTAGCAGGCAATGAGAACTCATTGGGTGGCTACAGTCTAAAAAAAAGAAAGAAAGAAAGAAAAAGAAAAAAGAAAAAAATATTTAAGCATGGCACCATTATTTTTGTTGATGGTGAAAATACAAGGGTATGCACAGAAGACAAACAGTCCCCTGGCATAACAAAAGTCATTGAGTGAAGAGGACAGATTTCTCATCCGAGAATTAGCTAAAGATGCCAACTTCCTTCCCCTAGCCTCTTCAAAGTGCTAAGTCTCAACAAGCGGATTGATGCCTGGTTGAAGATCTCTCTGGCTTCCTTTAGGACCACTGCAGGACCTGTGCCTTTGACCCACCCCCACTCCTCATGTGTGACATTGTTTTTCTACTACGTGAGATATTTTCCACAATTATAAAAGATTCCATGCTCACATCCAGGGAACAGCCTTGGAGTCCTCCATTGTTGGAGTTTGTTCTACTGCCAAAGCAGAGAGGAAAGAAATAGCATATAACTGTGACTCTTCTCCCTTGGCACTATAAATATTTCCCCTTTTCTCATGCCAATTCATTTTTGTTTCCTTTTCTTTCTGCATGGTCTATAAAGAAAAATCTTTGCCTTGTAAGTGGAAAGCAAGAATATTAATTTCATAAATATAATATGATAGTTGTATAATAGTAGTAAGACAAAGAAGAGAGAAACAGAAGAGAAAGAGAATGAGCGGAGAGGGGAACAGAGAGAAGGAAAGAAGGAACGATTTCTGTGAAACCACCCAGAAGTTCTTCCAAGTTCTACTTCTTAGTAACCTGTTCCTAGATTTAAGCAGGTGCAGGTAAATGAATAAACCTAACACTTGAGAGTTTCTAGTCTTAATGATCCCTTGTGGCTACTTTAAAGAAAGATAATTTTAAAGAACTGAACAATTTTTACATATATTAGAGTAATAAGAAAAGGTTGGAGCCTATTATGTAGAAATTGCCTAATTCTGGATTGGGTTAGAAGTAACATAAGTACTCAATAGTGACTATTGTAAATACTTTTAAAAATAATTCAGATAAGCACTACGTTAAAAATATGCAGAGTTTATCTTATTAGGTTGGTGCAAAAGTAATTGTGGTTTTTACCATTAAACATTAAACATAATGGCAAAAACCGCAATTACTTTTATACCTTAAATTTATTTTGATATTTCATCCTGTACATTTAGGAATTTTTGTTCTGAATTATTTACTGGCTTCGTTTTGTAGTTTTTAATTTAAAATTTTTAAATTGTGGTAAAATATACATGCATCTATCATTCTAACTACTTTTAATTATACAATTCAGTGGCATTAAGTACATTCACATTGTTGTGTAGTTTTGCTTTTATTCAAAAAACAATTTTTTTGACAGGGAGTCTCGCTCTGTTGCCCAGGCTGGAGTGCAATTGTGCCATCTCAGCTTACTGCAACCTCTGCCTCCCGGGTTCAAGCGATTCTCCTGCCTCAGCCTCCTAAGTAGCTGGGACTACAGGCAGGCGCGACACCACGCCCAGCACCATGCCTGGCTAATTTTTGTATTTTTAGTAGAGGGGAGTTTCACCATGGTGGCCAGGCTGGTCTCGAACTCCCGATCTCAGGTAATTGATCTACCCGCCTCAGCCTCCCAAAGTCCTGGGATTACAGGTGTGAGCCACAACATGTGGCCTGAATTTAAGTTTTTTTTTTTTAAGTTAGTTTCTATTAGATTGAAAATTAAGATACAGATAATATTTCTATGACTATATATTTTACAGTTTATTGTTCATAACTACTGTGTATGAATGCATCAAGGTAACTACATGAAGTGGAACTGAAGCCTGAAGCTCACCCCTTGCTTATGATTGCGATAATGATTTTAAAGAACGCTGGAAGCTCAGTGAGTCACTGAATTAACCTACCAAGAATTTTTTCTGTACAAATGTTTTCATTATATTGGAAAATTTTTCTTCAGGTGTTTTTACCCCCTTAAAAGTTTATCTTCCTTATAAACTAATTATATTCCATGCATGAACATAGGAGAAATGTAGCAGAACTGGGCAGTTCTAAACAAGATTTTTTTACACTGCAATAATCCGTGACCAACTAAAGCACTGCCAAAGTGTCAGACTCAGAATTCAAGTAAGTCAGACTTGCTTTAGATAAACAGTGCTTGCATTTAAGGTCATTTGAAAGCTCATTCAAGAGGTCACCTGTTTTCACTTAAACCCAGTTTAGCCTTACCAGCTAAAACGCTTACATTTAGAAATAACATTGGACTGCAAGTCACGTATTCTTTGACCTTGAGCAAGACCTGTCAAATTGCTAGAAGGATCAGTTTTCTTATTTTCAAATTAATAAACTAATTAAATAGGCCAGGCTTGTAATCCCAGCACTTTGGGAGGCCGAGGCGGGTGGATCACTGGAGCCCAGGAGTTCGAGACCAGACTGGGCAACATGGAGAAACCTTGTCGCCACTATTAACAAAAACAGAAAAATTAGCCTGGTGTGGTGGTGCATTCCTGTGGTCCCAGCTACTCAGGAGGCTAATGTGGGAGAATCACCTGAGCTGGGGGAGTTCCAGGCTGCAATGAGCCGAGATTGCATCACTGCACTCCAGCCTCAGCCACAGAGCAAGACCCTATCTCAAAAAAAAGTTTTAAAAAATCAATTAAATAGAAAATATTTCATTATGTATCTCAATATCTTTAAGGTTCTTGGCTGAAGTGACTGGGCTTTATTACATACTAAGCCCAACTTCATAGACAATCACTTTGGCTTCCCTTCCAAAATCCTTTGCCTCAAAGCTATCGACAATTGAAGGCGGGCTTCTAACAGATCCAGCAGTCTTCATAGGCTGTTCTGGATCCCCTGGACTTGCACACGGTGCAGGTGAAGGAAAGGCCGAGGGGGAGAGGCGGGACCTAGAAGGCGGGGCTAGGAGGGCAGTGGGGCGGGACAGAACGCACTGAGTTACGTCATTTCCGCCTGCGACATTTCCTAGGAGTCAAGCGGCGCCGAGGCCAGCAGCAATTGGCAGGAGAAGAGAATAGTGTCGCACCCTTTCAGCCGGTACTACTCTTCCGCTAGCCTTTATTGCCACTGGTTTGAGCCTTCCTTGTTTCAAGGCCGTAAAGAACCCATACCCTTGATATTCGTGCCCTATCCGTCTCCCTTAAGGACGTTTCCTTCCTCTAAAGTCCCGCAGCAAGGCCCCCACCTAGTTTACAGTCCTGCCCGGGAGGAGCCCGTTCCTCAGAGCTTCCTTTACTCGCCTCGGTGAAATTGCGTCGGTATGATTGATAAGCCCTTGCTGCTCATATTGCGCGTTTACAGTTCCCCACTCCCCAGTCCTCCTCAAAGATAATGCTTCGTCCACCTTCCCGCTGACCGGGAAGTACACTTTAACCTTTAGATTTTTATTCATTTCTTCCCCTTCCTCTCTCCCATTCCACCCAGGAAGTGGTTTTACGTCTTTTCATTTTTTGAGAGACGGAAAAGGAAAAGGCGTTTTTTAAAGGATAGGTTACTAGTTGTTTTTCGTCTTCTGCCCTCAGTATCAAGGACTACGGGTAAAAAGGAAAAGGGAAATTACGAAACTTACAAAGGTCACAAGAAACATTTGTTTATTCAATAAATTTAGTAGAGGAAACAAAACAGGAAGTATACCTGTTCCACTCCCAGCAAATTAAAAATTGTTTGCTGCTTTTAAAGTGAAATCCAGCATCCAAACACATCTTGTAGGCCTTTTTTCACGAAGAGTAAAAATAGACCAGTGAAAACATCATCTGTTATAATAAAAAGTTTTATTGACGGGATATAATAAGCTTGCAAAATCGTTATCTCAGAATCTACAAGTGGCACATGGGTGTAGTAAAATACTTAATTGCCTGAGGAGTTGTTTGATAGTATAGTTTATGTTTTCTTTGTTTTTGAGTTGGAGTTTCGCTCTGTTGCCCAGGCTGGAGTGCAGTGGCACGATCTCAGCTCACTGCAGCGTCCGCCTCTTGGCTTCATGCGATTCTCCTGCGTCAGCCTCCCGAGTACCTGGGACTATAGATGTGCGCCACCACAACCGGCTAGTTTTTGTATTTTTAGTGGAGACAGGGTTTCGTCATGTTGGCCAGGCTGGTCTCGGACTCATGACCTCAGGTGATCCTCCCATCTTGGCCTCCCAAAGTGCTGGGATTACAGGTGTGAGCCACTGCGTCCGGCCTAATAGTACATTTTAGTATCTTAAAACTTATGAACTATTTTCACATTGGTTAATTTATTTGAAGCATCGTTAATAACCACATAAAGTCAATCTTATTTCTTATCTGAAGCTATCAACAGTCCCACTCTCCTTTCAGCTCCAGATGGTGTCCTCTTACACCTATTCAAAGGTTTTACACTTTAACTTACCCTTTTTTGCCTCTTTAAGTTCTGCTTCACTTTCATTTATCCCTCACTACTGGATGGTACATTTTAACATGCTTTAGAATCTCTTTTTTTTAAAAAACCTTTATCCATTCTCAGTCTGCAGCTGCACCCCAGTTTTCTGTTTCCTTATAGCACTCCAGAGAACTACTACCCTTCTTACTGTCTCAACTTTCCCACATCCTCAACCCACCCCAAGTTTCCTTCCCTGCTTACTCCACCGAAACAGTGCCTGTGTGTCCACTAGTGACTATCTGTCCAAATCTTTTTTTTTTTCCCTATTTACTTGTCCTTGGAACCAATATTTGACACAATTGAATATGAAATTGTAGAACTTCATTGTTTATTTCTGAATTAATTTTGAGTGCTGGAATATATTTCCTCAATATTTTGTGTATTCATAAGTATATAATGGTGGCATTTATGACACACTTTTTTGGAGTTTTCTAAACACTCTTAGAAAGAATATTAAAATACTTATTATAGTCCTAATATCTAATTTATGTTTAGTTTTTTACTTTTCTAAAATTTAGAATCAAGCATTCCCATAGAATGTGTGTGGGTATAAATTGGAAACCATTTTTGAGGACAGGGTGACAGTGTTAGGTTTTAATATGCATACTGTTTTATTTTTTATGAAGTTATACTGTATATATCTGAACTATATGCATATTGTGGGAAAAAAAAACAACACTCTGGGAGGCCAAGACGGTCAGATCACTTGAGGTCAGGAGTTCAAGAGCAGCCTGGCCAACGTGGCAAAACCTCATCTCTACTAAAAATACAAAAGTTGGCCAGGCATGTGGCTGAGATGCCCAGGAGGCAGAGGTTGCAGTGAGCCAAGATACTGCCACTGCATTCTGGCCTGGGCAACAGAGGGAGAGACCTTGTCTCAAAAAAAAAAGTTACAAATGTACACAAATATATGTGTAAGAATATTCATTTTGGAATTAGAAAAAAGGAACAATCTGAATGTCCAATAATGGAGGAAAGAATAAGTAAATAGTGACATACCCAGTCTTAGAAATACTGTGCAACTATGAAAAAAAGGAGCAAGATCTATATGTATTAACATGGAAAAGTCTCCATAGGTTATTAAGGGAAAAAGAAAATATGTGTAGTTCGATCATGTTAATGCAAACAAATCTATATGTGTTAGTATGTATGTGTGTGTGTATATGTATAGACACATATACATGTTTTAAAATTTTAAATATATTAGAAAAGATCTGTAACAACACGTAACCATTGAAGAGAGAAGTGGGTTAGAAGAAGTCGAGGTGGGCAAGTTTTACTTTCTACTACATAGCTCTGTATTGTTTGAATTTCTGTATTATTTATATAATAACTTTAAATGTAAACAAATCTAGACAGTATTATGAATAACTTTGGATTTCAAACAGTAATGAGCTGTTAAATAAGGAATAATATTTACATATATCTCTAATGCTGTTTTTTAATTGTCCTGATTCTACGGTTATTTGTAGCTGATCAAAATAACTATATTCTGTATGTTGATCAGTGAAAAAGAACATGGACAAGAAAACATGAAAGTAATAAGTTGACCACTATATTTTAAAATTCATTATAATTATTTTTCTATTTTTTCTCACGTTTAAAAACTGAACTTGTGGTGTGATTTTTTTAAGTTATACTAAATCTCAGATGGCAAAGCTACCTTTTACATTTCTCTCTTTTAGTAGTATAGTGACAGTCTCCTTAAAAATTATTAAAACTGATTCTCACAATATTTGCAAGGAAACCATTTTTTTCTTGAAGTGTCCTGAAATACAGATAAATTATATTCTCTATTTCCACCTGCTGCCTAGCAAGAGTATTTCTCAACATACTCTCCTTTGATCAAAATTAACAGGCTGGGCACGGTGGCTCATGCCTGTTATCCAGCACTTTGGGAGGTCAAGGAGGGTGAATTGCTTGAGGCCAGGAGTTCGAGACCAGCCTGGCCAACAGAGTAAAACTGTCTCCACTGAAAATACAAAAATTAGCCAAGCTTGGTGGCACATGCCTGTAATCCCAGCTACTCAGGAGGCTGAGACATGAGAGTCACTTGAACCCAGGAGGCAGAGGTTGCAATGAGCCGAGATGATGTCTATGTACTCCAGCCTGGGTGACAGAGCAAAACTGTGTCTAAAAAAAAAAAAATTAACAAATCTTTTAGACCTGAAATATCATTCCTTATTCTCATTTGTGCTAATAGTTATTTTTAAATTAAGAGAATAATTGTACTTAAATATTACCTCAGTTTTCTAATTGGAATAAAGTATATGAATAGTTTTTATTTTGGAAAATAGTTTGTATTACAGTAATAGATATGATTTATTGAGTGGCTATGGTGGGTCAGAAACTATACTAAATGCTTTACCTATGTTATCTGAGTTAATCTTCGCAATTCTGTGAGTTAGGTACAATGAGTCCCCCTGTTTTACAGGTGAATAACTTGAAGTTTGAGTGAGCTAAGTAACTTTTGTAAGGTCACACAGCTAAGGATGAAGTAGAATTTGTTGAGATTTAAACCCAGGTCTATCTTACTTCAGAGCCCAAAGACTTAACCTATTTCCCCATGCCTCCTGTATTATAAAGGCTATTTGTAGGGAAAGCAAAAAAAGACATAAGTTTTTTTCCATCCTTCTCCCAACTCTTAAAAATGTCAATTTAAAAAACAACAATTTATCAAATTAGGAAGAAAATACTTTTAGTTTTAAGCATCTGGATAACTTTAAACATCAAAAAGGAAAATCACAAACTGCGAAATATATAAATACATTTTTCATGTTTTTTAATGAATGGCATATCCTTTTTGACAGTTTTTCTGTTCAGCCTCTGTCTTTCTAAACATAACGTACACATTAGATGTGTGTTTTATGTTTAAATAGGTCAGGGCTTTGGGATTTGTAAAGCCTTACATGTTTTGCATTTTACATGCACCAGTTCAGATAAATTTTTATTATTTTTAAAGAGACAGGGTCTCATTCTGTGTCCCAGGCTGGAGTACAGGGATGTGATCATAGCTCACTGCAGCTTTGAACTCCTGGGCTCAAGCAATCCTCCTGTTTCAGCCTCCCAAGTAGCTAGGACTACAGTGTGTGCCACCCTGCCCAGCTTTTTGTTGTTGTTGTTGTAGAGATGGAGGTCTCACTGTATTGCCCAGGCTGGTGTTGAACTCCTGGCCTCAAGCATTCCTCCTCCCTTGGCCTCCCAAAACCATGGGATTACAGGCATGAGTCACTGTATTCAGCCCAGAATTTAAGCTTTTAAGCAAAATTTGTTCACTTTGAACTATGATAAAGCATCTCAGAACCATATTGCCACTGTCAGTGTAATTAGTAACATTAGTTATCCTGTGAAGTATTAATAACTCTAAGAGTAGGTAAAAATCCATGTTTCTCCCTGTATTCAGTGCATGACCTTTTTTTCCTTTCATATTTGATCATATAAGGTCTAATTTTAGGTTAGGGACCTGGGCAATTTTAGTGGTTGCAACTCTGTCTCTATGCATGTTAAGAAAGGTTTATTTGAAGTCATGCAACAGTGTATGTAAAAGTCAGTGACTTTCAAGATAAACTTGAATTCAATAACTGGCTTAATTACTTACTATTTGATCTTAGGCCTTTAAGCTTAGGCTTCTCATTTCTAACACAAGCATATTAGTAAAATCTGCTATTTAGGGTTGTTGCTGGAATTGGAAAAAACAAAGAACATATTAAGTCATCAATAATTGGTGACCACCTTTGGCTGGGTGCAGTGGCTCATACATGTAGTCTCAGCACTTTCAAAGGCAGAGGCAGGAGGATCACTAGAGTACAGGAATTCAAGACCAGCCTGGGCAACATAGCAAGAACCTCTCTCTACAAAACATTTTAAAAATGAGCTGGGTGTGGTAGCATGTGCCTGTAGTCCCAGCTACTCAGGAGGGTAAGGCAGGAGGATCGATTGACCCTAAGAGTTCAAGGCTGCAGTGACCTATGATTCTGCCATGGCATTCTAGCCGAGGCAACAGAGAAAGACTCTTTTATTTTTATTATTTTGATATAAAATATTATTTTAATTGTTTTATTTATACAACTCTATTTAATTTTCATTGGGTTCTAGTGGTAGTTTTTTGTTTTTTTTTTTTTTTTTTTTTTTTTTTTTTTTTTTTTTTTTTTTTTNTTTTGAGAAGGAGTCTTGCTCTGTCACCACGCTGGAGTGCAGTGGCACAGTCTCGGCTCATTGCAACCTCCACCTCCTGGGTTCAAGTGATTCTTCCGCCTCAGCCTCCCGAGTAACTGGGAACACAGGTGCATGCCACCACACCTGGCTAATTTTTTTTGTATTTTTAGTAGAGACGGGGTTTCACAGTGTTGGCCAGGATGGTCTCGATCTCTTGAGCTCGTGATCTGCCCGCCTCAGCCTCCCAAAGTGTTGGGATTACAGGCGTGAGCCACTGTGCCTGGCCTCTAGTGGTAGTTTTATAATGGAGCACATAAAATGATTTTAGGCTGGGCGCAGTGGCTCATGCCTGTAATCCCAGCACTTTGGGAGGCCAAGCCAGGAGCAGTTTGACAGTAGCCTAGGCAGCATAGCAAGACCCCATTTCTACAAAAAGAGGTAAAAAAAGAAAACCAGGTGTAGTGGTGCATGCCTAGAGTAGCTGTTTAGGAGGCTAAGGTGAGAGGATCACTTGAGCCCAGCAGTTTGAGGCTGCAATGAGCTATGATCACACCACTGCACTCAAGCCTGGGTGACAGAGCAAGACTATCACTAAAAATAAAATTATTTTAAATGTACCCTTTTTGCTCATTTTCTTTTAGGAATTTCAAATGCCTTGGAAAGAGGACTTAGAATTTGCAAAGCAGGATAAAGCTGCCAGAGTCATTCAGCAGGCCTGGAAAAGTTTCCTTGTAAGTTTATTTACAAGTTTTACTGAGATATAATTTTTATGTCATAAAATTTAAAGTGTACAGTTCAGTACTTTTTTTTTTTTGAGACAGGATCTTGCTCTGTTGCCTAGGCTGTAGTGCAATAGCACAATCTCGCCTCGCTGCAGCCTCTGCCCTTCATGCTCGAGCAGTTCTCCCACTGCAGCCTCCCAAATAGCTGGGATTACAGGCACACTATTACGCCTGGCTAATTTTTGTATTTTAGTAGGGACAGGGTTTCACCATGTTGGCCAGGCTGGTCCGAAACTCCTGACTTCAGGTGATCCACCCTCCTCAGCTTCCCAAAGTGCTAGGATTACAGGCGTGAGCCACCGCCCTTGGCCAGTTCAGTACTTTTTATATAAAGTGTCCAATTCAGTAGCTTTTAGTATACTTGCAGAATTGTGTGCCACTCTTCGCATTAAAAAGAAGACTTTTTAACGTTTCAAAAAGTTACAATTATTTCATTAGCTGCACAAATATTTATTGAGTTCCTGATCTGGGGCAGGCACTTTTATAATGGCTATCAATGAACGTATCATTAATAAGATTATTTGCCTTTCACCGCTAAACACTTTAGTTCTTGATTGAGGAACCAGTATTGTAAGCAGATGTTAGGACTATAGTCACTCATTAAATATTTATTGAATACTTATTCTTGAGGAGCTTAAAGTTTATTAGTACACTAAATCTGAGTTAATGTCGTGGTCACTTGTGCTCCTGTAAGGGTAGAGCTGTTCTTATATGTGTAAGGAATATTCCAAGGTGAATTACCTGGTTGGGTGAGAGCCAAGAGCTAAAATTACCTCACTCTTTTCTCTCTGATAGCAGCAATACTCTATCTGTGCCTGGTAATTTTAAGTGAAGTATTATGGGTCTGTTTCTAGCACATGCTGATACAAAGGTTTTATGACTTACAAGACCACCTTTGTATCAGTTAATCACATTTTGTAAAGTTGCTTCATTATTTGCCTTTACCAAAGCCATAAAGGCTATGCTGAGGTATAACAATGTTAATTTCTAACACTAAAATAACATATATTTTTTAAAAATACAAGGGTCTCACTATTTTGCCCAGGATGGTCTCAAACTCCTGAGCTCAAGTGATCCTCCCACCTCAGCTTCCCAAGTAGCTCACCCTATGCCGAACACCATTGTATTGAACACCATTGTATCCAGCTAATCTTTTTTTAAAATTTACTCAGTTGGTTTTGATCAACATACTTATCATCTAGGATTACGCTTTTCTATCATTTGCAACTGTTTTCTTCCACATCCAACCAGCCACACACCTTTGACTAGCTGTTGTGTTCCTGGCATTGTGCTAGGCAATTTCACAATACATCCTTGCCCTTAAGGGAGCCTCAGTAGAGAAGTCATGTAAATAAAGGGGTGACGTGTGTGTGTGTGTGTGTGTGTGTGTGTGTGTGTGTGTGTGTGGACTGAGGTCATATTTTCACCTATCCCTCAAGAACCTCATTGAAATGACACTATGTAATATAGAAGGGTAATCCATAACAAAGAGGAGGGGGATTCATCAGCAGGTAAAAATTTTATCTAATTTTTGGAAAACCAAAAATAGATGATAACATCCTGTTGGAAAAACTGTAGAAACACTTGCCTAGACACATTTCATAGGCGTTCCAGTTTCCATTGAGGGAATTGGTTTGCCATTAGAACCCCAGAGAGGATATGAATTTGGAGTTAACAATTTAAAAGAGCTGGAAGGAGAAGGACTGAAGACAAGGAGGTTAATTGAAGGTCTGTACACGGAGCAGCTGTGCCAGTTGTCTTCAGTCTTTTGCAGATCAAGAGCTGCAAGTAGGTGGATATTTACTGGTAGTCTTGCTAAGTTGGGTTTATTATGTATTTTAGATATGAACCCCATATCTAATATATGATTTGCAAATATTTTCTCCCATTCTGTAGGTTGTCTCTTCATTCTGTTGATTATTTCCTTGTCTGTGTAGAAGCTTTTTAATTTAATATAATCCCATTTACCTATTTTTACTTTTGTTGCCTGTATCTGGGTTTATATCCACAAAATTATTGCCCAGATCAGTGTCATGAAGCTTTTCCTCCATATTTTCTTCCAGTAGTTTTACAGTTTCAGGTCTTATATTTAAGTCTGTAATCTATTTTGTATTAATTTTTGTATATAGTATGAGATTGGAGTCTTAATTTCATTCTTCTACTTGGGGACATTCAATTTCCCCAGCATCATTTATTGAAGAGACCATCCTTTATTCATTGCATGCTCTTGGAATCTTTGTCAAAAATCAACCATAAGTGTATGGATTTATTTCTGTGCTCTGTATTCTGTTCCATTGGTCTACGTGTATGGTTATATGCTGGCACCACACTGTTTTGATTATTACAGCTTTATAGGGGATTTTGAAATCAGGTAGTCTCGTGCTTTGTTTTGTTTTGTTTGTTAATGGGGTCTTTTGTCGCTCCATATGAATTTCAAAATTGTTTTTCCTATTTCTGTGAAAAGTGTCATTGGTATTTTGATAGGGATTGCATTGAATCTGCAAATTGCTTTGGGTGGTATGGACATTTTCACAATACTTTCCATTCTATGAACACAGAATAGCTTTCCATTTATTTGTGTCTTATTTGATGTTTTTTTATATCAGCATTTTATAGTTTTTAGTGTACAGATCTTTTGTGTCCTTGGTTAAATTTACTCCAGTATGTTTTTGGGGGGGGATAAGTATGGTAAAAGGGATTGTTTCTTAATTTCTTTTTTGGATAGTTTGTTTTTAGTGTATAGAAACACCACTGATTTTTGTATGTTGAGTTTGTAACTTTACTAAATTTGCTCATTATTTTTAAGAGTTTTTTGATAAAGTCGTTTTTTTTTTTTTAGATTTTTTTTTTCAAAGACGAGGTTTCGTTGGTCAGGCTGGTCTTGAACTCCTGACCTCAGGTGATCCATCCTACCTTGGCCTCCAAAGTGCTTGGATTATAGGCGTGAGCCACCATGCCCGGCCTGATAAAGTCTTTAAGGTCTTCTATATATAAGATCATGTCATTTGCAAACAGAAGACAATTTAACATCTTCCTTTTTTTGATGTGTATATCTTTTATTTCTTTCTCTTTCCTAATTTCTCTGGCTGAGACTTCCAGTTCCATGCTGAATACAGGTGGTAAGCAGGGGCATCCTTGTTCTTGATCTTGAGGAGAAGCTTTCAACTTTTCACCATTGAGTATGATGTTAGCTATGGGCTTGTCATATGTGACCTTTAAAGACAAATTAAGGAATATAGTGAGACAAACAAAAATGGAGACACAACATACCAAAACTTATGGGATGCAGCAAAGGCAATTCTAAAAGAGAATTTCATAGCAATAAATGTCTACATCACAAAACAAGATAGCTCCCAAACAACCTAATGTTACGCTTCAGGGAGCTAGAAACAGAAGAACAAACTAAGTTAGCAGAAGGAAGAAAATAAAGATTAGAGTAGAAGTAATTGAAATAAAAACTAGAAAAACAATAGAAACTAAGAGTTGGGTTTTTGAAGAGATAAACAAAATTGCCAAATCTTTAACTACACTAACTGATAAAAAAGAAAATCAGGTGTGGTAGCACATGTCTGTAGTCCCAGCTACTTTGGAGGCTGAGGCAGTAGAATCATTTGAGCCCAGGAGTTTCAGTCCAGCCTGGGCAGGATAGTAAGACTACATCTCTAAAAATAAACAAATAAATAAAAATAAAATAAAATTTAAAAAAAACCAGAAGACTCAAATAAAATCAGAAATGAAAGACGAGACATTACAACTAAAACTACAGAAATATAAAGGAAAATAAGAAACTACAATGAACAGTTACATGCCAATAAGTAGGATAACTTAGAAGAAATGGATAAATTCTTAGTTACATATAACCTCCCAAGAATAAATCATGAAGAAATAGAAAATGTGAAGAGACTAATAATGAGTAAGGAGGTTGGATCAGTAATAAAAAACCTCCTATCAAAGAAAAGTCCAGGGTGGCTTCATAGTTGAATTCACTGATGGCTTTACTGTTGAATTCTACTAAACATTTAAAGAAAAAATAATAATCTGCCCTTTTCAAACTCTTTCAAAAAATTGAAGAGGAGAGCATACTTCTAACCTCATTTACAAAGCCAACATAACTTAGATACCAAGGCCAGACAAGGATGTTATAATAAAATTACAGGCTTATATCCCTAATGAACATAGATGAATAGGATCTTCAACTAAATACTAGCAAACTGAGTTTAACAGCACGTTAAAAGAATTATTCACCATGATCAAGTGAGATTTATCCTTTGTATGAGAAGTGATTCACCATATACAAATGTGATAGACCACATTAATAAAGGATAAAAACCATGTGATCACTGCAATAGATATTTCATATATTTTACAACACTTCTTATCTGAATAACATTTTATTTTATATTGATATAGCTACCCTACTGTTCTTTTGGTGGGTATCTTTACATGGCATCTTTTCCTATTCTTTCCTTTGCAGCTTTTTGTGTCCTTATCTTTAAATTGTGTCTCTTGTAAACAAAATATAGCAGGTCTAACTTTGCATAACTCTAAGCAATCTTTATCTTTTAATTAGTATGTTTAGACCAGTTATGTTTATTGTGATTACTGTATTCATTGGGCTTAAGGCTACCACATTGCTTTTTGTTTTCTACTTGTCTGATCTGTTTTTTCCTGCATTTCTCCTTCCCTTTCCCTTTCTTTGTAGTAATTGAATATTGTTAGTTTGTCATTATTTTCTTTATTAATTTTTTAGTTATTTTGATTGATTAAAGATGCCATGAATTGTTTTCTATTTCTCCTATTCACAGGAGGTGGCAATATTTTCCCTTTCATCTAGGCTATTTTAGTTACTTGCTTTACCACTAAAACCAATAGATAGGACATGACATTCTGGAACCTCTTAGTCTAGGTCATAGAAAGCATTGTAGTGTTCATGTCTGTGTCCTGAAATG